TTATTGTCAAAAGGTTGCCTTTTATAGACGGAATCCATTACAAAATTACAAATTTATCCTCTATAATATAAATTTAATAAAAATATAAAAAAATAAAAAACGACCACCATCGACAGAATCTCCAATTTTCACACAGGCAAAGCACCCAAGCGTCGACTCGACCGCAAAAGTTTAAAGTTTTTACTTTTTTTTTTTCCTTCTCTCTTTTTTTGTTAAGAAAAAAGTCATGTCACCAAAGTTATACACTAATATTTTAGTACGAAAAACTCCAAATTTTATAGAGTATATGTTGGGTACATATATTAGTTGGGTATAGTTAATATGTATGTTTACCCTACTCTAAATTAGAAGATTATATAATATATTGGGATATATTACTATCACACCGATAAAAAGAACATGTATTATATAACCTAATAATTTAATATATACGAATAAAAAGTATATATTATATAACCTTTTGAAGAAGTATATGTTTTTCATATTATTATACAATAGTGGTGAGAATATATTATATAACATAATAGTATATACTAATAAAAAGTTTGTATTATATAACCATATCATACCATTGGAAAAAAAAAGAGGCGTGGAAAAAAAATAATAGGGAGAGAGATTTTTCAAAGGAATGATTTAACATTAATTGTGACATGAGAAAAATATGAGATTTTTAAAGTTGGGTAGAGATTTGAAATCTAAATATGAAAAAAAAAAAAGTGGAGTAAGAAATCAAATCTAACAATTTAAATAAAAAACAAATCAAATTGAATAAAAAAGTAATAATTGAGGGTAATCTTTGAAATTAATAAAAATTTAAAATGCAGGAATCCAAGTATGTAAAAATTTGAAAAACCAAAGTCATTTCTGAAATAATATGACCCATTTCTCCATAATTTAAAATGAAATAGTATGAACTTGGGCTGGATCTCTCAGGCCCATTGGCCCAACATCCAAAAAGAGCCCAAATTTGATTTTTTTTTATTTTTTTTTTACCTTTTTTCCATATTTCTATAATCTACACTTTTGACTGTAGATCTCAAAATTATAACTAATATTTATGAACAAAAAAAATATAAATACCTCCTCTTTACATCTCAATTCTGGATACAGCTTTCTTTCATCCCTTAAAATTTTTTACTAAAATTTAGGAAACTTTTCAATCTTTCACCTCTTTATTTAGTTGAGTGAAACAAATTTACCATTCAAATTTTAATTTTATCGTATTGAATCATAAATTTAAATAAATAGTGAAACTAATACCTTCAATTAACTGAATTACTTATGGATGTGTATGAGCTCGACAAAGGCAATTTTGTGGGCGCTAATTTTTATAGTTGCGTTGAACGTTTGTTTTTAACAATATTCGGACATTTTCATATCGAGTTTAATATTTTTTCTGAATTTTTTTTAATTAATTGCATTTTACCTAATCTAATCCTCCTCTTTATATATATTAAAAAAAAAGTGAGTTGGGGCGGAGAATAGGGAATAGAGACTCGTTTCCATCCCCGTTTAGGTGACGGGGAAAGAAACTTCCCCAATCCCTACCCCTTTAGGCGGGAAAAATGAATATTCCAAACTAAAATGATCTGTTTTTAAAAATTCAAAAATCAAAATAGACTCTCGAAAGTAGAGACACTAAAACAAACAGAACTCTGACAAAATGAATGCTGAAAGCACAAGACCTAAAATACTAGTATTTAAACCTTAAAAAAACATATAACATTTTACCATTTTGAATGATATGTTTTTTCTTTCTTTGGTTCAACTTTGGGAAAATAAAAGAAGAAAAAAAGGTGGTGACTTGTGTAAGAATATATTGTTGTTTGCTTTTTTGGGTATTGATTCAGTTCAACTTTTTCTTACAATGCATTTTCAAATCACGACATAAATCTTTTCACTTTTATTTTTTAATTGTCATTTTGTTAAAAGAAAATACATTGGAATACTCAACAATTGTAAGTTTCATATCTCTTCTAATTTCTTTTTCAACATTTAGATCTATATATTAGTTTTAATAATAATTTAGCACTTTAAGAAAAGTAACAATTCAATATTTATCATTAAAAATCTTGTTGTAACCGAAACATGTGAATAGAAAAACAAAATTTTGAATTACCTTTGATTTTAGAAAAACTTAACCATTACCTTCCTAGAAATATAAACAACAAATAGTTTTAACTTATAAAAGTAAAAATAAGTTAAATTTATAGGTTTGTACCTACAATTTTAGACTTGTACCTATTTACTCTCTGTATTTTAAAACGTTTCTAATAAGTCCACGCTTCGAAGATTACAACCATATGGACAAAATGGTATAAGTTCGAAAGTTTTCAAATGTTTGTTTTGACCCGTGTACTTTTAAAAAGGAACCAACTTGGTTCGTATTTGTAGGATTTTTTTTTTTAAGTTGAATTATAATACACAGTAAAAATCTTCTAATACAAATTTATGACTACATTTCAAGAATTGTACTGAGTGAAGTGTCACGCTAAAACTATGATAAAAATAAATTACATAAAATGGAAATCTTTTAAAACAAATTTATGGCTACATTTCGAGAAATTTATTGAATGAAGTGTCAAGCTAAAATTATGATAAAAAAGATAAGATAAAATGAAAATGAAATGACCAAAATGGTCACTTTTGAAAAGTATGAGAATCAAAACTAAAATCAACCAAAGATTTAATGTACAGTGACCAAAACAGTATTTAAATATAAACATTTTAAAATATATAGAAACTATATAGACACAGTCTTAAAAGTTGAAGGGCCGAACTTGTAATTTAATCCGAATCAAAATATCATGGTGTATTTTAATCCAAAGTATATTCGAAATAGAATGAAATATTTAATAAAAATTCAAAAGTTATTCCCAACTATATACAATATAATATGTATTTAAGATTCCTAAAGAATATATATGATTTTTCTTTTCGAAAGATGAAATCTTGTGGAAGAAGACAGTATACATTTTCCCAAGTAATTTGAAAATGATGGGAATTCTCGTTACATGCATAAGAATAGTATGTTGCAAAATAAAATAATATATTAATTAATTTAAACTACAGACAATGGTTCTTCAGTAAATAAGTGGGTGAGGATTCAAATACATGACATCGTAACAAAACTATGCTTGTTTCAGCATAATTCTACTAAATTAAATGTACAATTATTGATGCATCCATTATATTTAATGTGTCAACAAATATATATATATATTTTGTTAAATTATAAATTCAGTCCCTTAACTTTAAAGTTTGTGATTAATAAGTCATTTGAACTTTCAATTTTATATATGATACGTTTCTAAACTTTTAAAAGTGTAATATATTCCTAAACGTCAAATAGATATATTTATGAATTTTCAATTTTGTGTTTAGTAGTATTTCACTTATTCGACATTTTGTAAATTCTATGAATCTATCAAACTTAAAATTAAAAGTTTAGGATTCTATTGTACTCAAAATTCAATTTTATGTCTAATAGAGTTGTTAGTTTCAAAAAATGTTAAATAGGTCTAGAACTTATTAGGTATACAATTAAAAGTTCAGAGACTTATTGAGTATTTTTAAAATTTAAGAACTTACTGCACGCAAAAATTAAAGTTTAGGAACCTATTAAACATTTTGTAAAGTTCATGAATCTATTCAACACAAATTTGAAAGTTCAAAGGACTAAACTTGTAATATATATTTTTTTAATATTTACACATATATATAATCATAAATATTACATCCAAAATAATGGTAATCGTTTATGACGTTAGGTTTTCTGTCTTTTTCAATAATAATTGATGAATGATCTAAATGAATAATCACAAATGACAAACCAATGAGAATCACACTAAAAATGTAACATTTTTATCAAGGAAGAAGAGATACTTTCACATATTCTTAGCTCAAAATGGCAAAGTTGAGGAGATAAAAAGGTTACTTTTTTAAAGTTACCCAAGAACAAATTCCAATGGAGATTATGGGGGCATGTAGATGTAGTTCAGAGATCTCGAACATATAACCATATATGTTTTTTATAATCGAGAGTCGGAGCTTTGCTTCTTTACGCTTAGGGGCACCTGTGCCCATTCTAAGGCCAAGTTGGAAAACGTCAAGGGTCTTTGATATAAAGCTCATTGAAAGGTTCGAACTTAAAATTTTTAAGTTAGTATGACTAAGAGACTCCAAGTCCTTTCCAATCGACCTACCTCTAGAGACTAACATGTAGGTATATTGATATATAAAATGATAGCTACATTCAAGATCCATTTGGTAATGTTTCTGTTTTTTTTTTTCAAATTAGAAATATAAGTATTTAGTAACTATTCATGTTTTTTTTGTTTCTCATCTTTTGGGATTGTTTCTAAAATTGTACGGAAGTTGGAAACAAAAAATAAATAAATCAAAGAACCGTTGGTAACATTCTCGTTTATTGTTTCTAATTTTATTGAGAAACTTAAGCATTTGCAACTATTCATGTTTCTTATTTCTCATTTTTTAAAGACATTCTCTAAAATTGTATAGAAATTTTGAAAAAAATACAAATTTCTTATTTATTCTTCCTGTTTACAACAAAATCAAGTTTCCATCTTTCTTTTAAATAAAAAAAATGAAAAACAATAAATAGTTAGCACATGCAATTATGTTTTTCTTTATTAAAAATAGAAGAAACGAGAACATCATCAAATGGGTCCGATGTTTCCTATTTTTCTTTTTCTTGTTTCGAATTTTTTTAAAACATAAAGACATTATTTTATTATTTTTTTTGCTTATAAAATGATAAACATTTCAAAAAAAATAAATAAAACGTCAAAATGTTGAATATTTTATTAAAAAATTAATTTCCATATAAAATTTTACTTTATTTCACCTCAAATGGGTGGAAAACAAGAAACAAGAAAGGATTATCAAAATGATTGAAAAAATAAATTACAAGAAACAAGAAGTAATTACATTATATTTTTCTTTATTAAACAAAAAAAAAATGAGAAATGACATCGTTACCAAAAGACCCTCTTTACGTGGAATAAATTCTAAAATATTTAATCAATTTTTTTTCACTTTTTATTCCATCCACCTTATCCTTTGAATGTTTCATCTTTTGGGTTCGAATAAATTCGAAGTCTGATGTCTCCATTATCAGGTGGCAAATTTTGGCCTATAATCAATCAATATAAGATCCTCTCTGTTTACCACTCTATATTCTTCATAAACTAATAATTCCCTCATCTTATTTCTCATTAAGATTTATGCATTACAAAAGTTTTCACCTTTAAACTTCTAATAACTTCCTTGATCCTACTTTTTGCAGCTATTTGTCAACTACCTTCTTCCTCCTTCAATCTTCTCCCTATAAATTTTTGTGATGATTTGCTTGGTTTCTCTACAGCACTCATCAAGTTTTTAAACTTGCTCCATAAACCATTCTTCTCTAACTTTCTTTGTTGAGTCTTATCATTCTGCCTACTTCATTTTACAAGTGTCTATCTTTTCGTTTGTCTAAGATCTCTGTTTACCATCTGCAATGGCACCTCCAAATGACCCAGTCACCTTGATCTCTTCATTTCACAAATCTGAGACTTTGGAAAACTATATTGATTGTTCAAAGGGAAAGATCAGTGTTGAAGGAGTTCCGTTGCTGTCGGAAGTCCCGAGCAATGTCTTTTTCAGCCCCTTCTCTTCGATATTTCGAACCTCTGATGCACCACTTCCTTTGCTCCAAAGAGTGCATGGTCTGTCCCGTAAGGGGGGGTTTCTCGGTTTCGAACAAATGCAGCCTTCTGATAGGTTAATGAATTCTTTGGGAAAGTTTGAAGGTAGGGAGTTTGTGAGTGTCTTCAGGTTCAAAACATGGTGGTCGACCATGTGGATTGGGAACTCTGGGTCAGATTTACAAATGGAAACCCAATTGGTCATCTTGAATGTCCCTGAAATAAGGTCATATGTCGTTATCATACCCATTATAGAAGGCAGTTTCAGGTCTGCCCTTCATCCTGGGACTGATGGACATGTCTTAATTTGGGCAGAAAGTGGCTCAACTCAGGTAAAAGCATCGAGTTTTAATGCCATAGCCTACATTCATGTGTCTGATAACCCCTACAACTTAATGAAAGAAGCCTATGCTGCCATTAGAGTCCATTTAAATACTTTTAGACTCTTGGAAGAGAAGTCTGTCCCAAATCTGGCGGACAAATTTGGCTGGTGTACTTGGAATGCTTTTTTCTTAAATGTAGAACCTGTTGGAGTTTGGAATGGTGTGAATGATTTTGCTGAGGGTGGGATCTCATTGAGGTTTCTCATCATTGATGATGGCTGGCAAAGCATCAACATAGATGGTGAAGACCCGAATCGGGATATGAAAAATATTGTTTTGGGTGCGAGTCAGATGACTGCTAGGCTCTACAAGTTCGAAGAGTGCGACAAGTTCAAGAAGTACAAAGGTGGGACTTTGTTGGGTCCAAACCCCCCACCATTCGATCCAAAGAAGCCGAAGCTGTTGATCTCAAAGTCGATCGAGCTTGATCGTGCTGAAAAAGATAGAGACAATGCCATTCAATCTGGAGTCACTGATGTGTCTAAGTTTGAAGCCAAAGTTCAGAAACTGAAGCAAGAGATGATTGATATGTTTGGAAAAGAAGAAGGAGGAGAAGAAAGCAGTGCTGTGAGCAATGATTGTGAAAGCCGTTCTTACACGGCTGATAACTTTGGAATGAAGGCTTTCACAAGGGACTTGAGGACAAAATTCAAAGGTTTGGATGATATATATGTTTGGCATGCTCTTGCTGGTGCCTGGGGTGGTGTAAGGCCTGGCTCTACCCATCTGAGTTCAAAGATAATTCCCTGCAAGCCCTCTCCTGGACTTGATGGGACGATGACGGATCTTGCTGTTGTGAAGATCATGGAAGGAAAAATTGGACTCGTTCATCCCGATCAAGCCTACGATTTGTTCGATTCCATGCATTCCTACCTTTCCAAAGTTGGGATCACAGGAGTTAAAGTTGATGTAATACATGTAAGTTGCTCTAAAACAAAAATTTCAGTTTTTTTTTTTTCCTTTTTTTTGGTAAAATTACAATATAGTTTATGTCTGATAAGTTCCTAAAATTTAAAAATTGTTTTCTAGGTTTTCAAACTTTCAATATTATGTCTGACAGGTTCTGAACTTTGAAAAGTATCAAGTAGGTGTCCGAACCTTCAATGTTGAGTCTGATAGGTCTCTGACCTATTAGACATTCTTTAAAATTCATAGGCCTATTACACGCAACATTGAACGTTTAGGAACTTACTAAATAGTATTTAAAGTTAAAAGACGAATTAGACCTAATATTAAAAGTTCAAAGATCTATTAGATACTTTAAGTTCAAGAACCTATTAGGTATAACCCTAAAAGGTTTAAGAACCTATTAGGTATAACCCTAAAAAGTTTAAGAACCTATTAGGTATAACCCTACAAGTTTAGGGACTGAAATTGTAATTAACTTTTTTCCCGTCTAACTTAGCTTTATAAATAACTAATCTATCAACATTTTTGTCATATTGTTTGTTCAATATAGACTCTAGAATATGTCTCAGAGGAATATGGAGGAAGAGTTGATCTTGCAAAGGCCTATTATAACGGTCTCACCAACTCTATTATAAAGAACTTCAAAGGGACTAACCTTATCTCCAGCATGCAACAATGCAACGATTTCTTCTTCCTTGGAACAAAGCAAAACGCCATAGGAAGAGTCAGTAAGAATCTCAACTTTTTCCTCTCTCTGTTCTCTGGTCATTTGAAGTTCACAGGAGAGTTAGCCAAAACGAGAAAGAAAGAACAAGAGAGAGAAGCATTTGCATCAAAACTTGTTAATAACAAAGAAAAATTCTAAACACAAAGTTTGACCACTGCTAATATGTTTTGTGGAGCAGGTGATGATTTTTGGTTCCACGATCCACAAGGAGATCCCATGGGTGTTTACTGGTTACAAGGTGTTCATATGGTTCATTGTGCATACAACAGTATGTGGATGGGGCAGTTCATACAGCCTGATTGGGACATGTTCCAATCAGACCATCAGTGTGCCAAATTCCATGCAGGATCAAGAGCCATTTGTGGGGGTCCTGTATATGTGAGTGATTCAGTGGGAGGCCATGATTTTGATCTCATAAAGAAGCTTGCATATCCTGATGGAACAATTCCCAGGTGCCAGCATTTCGCGCTCCCCACTAGAGATTGCCTCTTCAAGAATCCTATTTTTGACAACAAAACTGTTCTCAAGATTTGGAACCTTAACAAGGTACTCCCTGGTTTTATCTTTTTGGTGTTCATGCTTTCATTTAATTAATAATTGAAGACCTTTAGTTTATAATCTGTAATGACTTAGTTTATTTTTTTCATAACGACTTAGTCCACAAAAGTTTAGTAGGTAACCATTATAAATCCAGATAGTTGAGAATTTATAACAATGGCTGCTGTTAAATATTGAGTTAAGGTACAACAGAGGTTTGACATGACAACCACTTAGATAACAGGTGTACAAAAACAAAGGTTATGTGTGCTAAAAAAATGACACTATCTAGGTGGTTGCCACGTCAACCCAGGTTAAGCCTTAAAAATATTTTAATGATAGGGACTAAATCGAATACAAATTTTAAACTATAAAAGATTTAAATATTACTTCAAATGGAACGAGATCACATGTCCTTTTTAACCTTTTAACTACTTGGTGGGAATTCAATTACAGTATGGAGGAATTATTGGTGCTTTCAACTGCCAAGGAGCTGGTTGGGACCCTAAAGAGCAGAGAATCAAAGGGCATCCAGAATGCTACAACCCAATGTCCACCACAGTACATGTCAATGATGTGGAATGGAACCAAAAACCAGAAGCAGCCCCAATGGGGAATTTCGTCGAATACATTGTGTACCTGAACCAAGCCGAGCAGATTCTCCACACGACCCCAAAATCCGAGCCGCTAAAAGTGACCCTTCAACCATCCACATTCGAGCTCTTCAGCTTCATACCCCTCCGAAAGATTGGCTCCAGCATCAAATTCGCCCCAATCGGCCTCACGAACATGTTCAACAGCTCCGGCACAATCCAGCACTTGAAGTATAACGAAAATGGAGTGGAGCTGAAGGTGAAAGGAGGAGGAAGCTTCTTGGCCTACTCGAGCGGATCACCGAAGAAATGCGTTTCGAACGGAACGGAGGTGGAATTCGAATGGGATTCCCAGGGAAAACTAGGGTTTGATCTTCCAGGGAATGAAGAAGCCGGTGGAGTTTCTAATTTGGATATTTTCTTCTGAAAATTTTATCTGAAGTTATTATTTTCTCCTGCAAGTGACATGTTTGCTGGGCACAGCCATGTCAATCTATATCTCCAACGGAAGAAATTTTATCTCCCTATCTTATCCTTTAATTTTAAATACTTTTCTTATTATGTTGATGGCAATTCTGTCTGTCACTCCTTACTCATTTTTCTTATATATAATTTATGTATTAATAAACGAAGTCATTCAATGTGGCGATGAACGCTACACAGCTTATCGACCCACTAAGAAAAGTAACTGAAAAGCAACCGTAAATCATTTATATTCTAATAAATATAATCATCTTCATCGTGATATAATTATTTTTTAAAATGTCCCATTTCAAAAAAGAAGAAATTAATATATATATATATATATATATATATATCAAACGAAAAGAAAGTTGAGAGAAAATGGGAGAAGAAGAACCAAAGAAAAATCCACGAAAAAAAACGTGTCATTAATCTTTCTAATTTTGTTCGTTCTTCATTTTTATTTTGCATGTCATCAGATGAGACAATTATTTAACTCGAGAGAAATTTTTTTAAGTGATTTATAAAGTTTTATAAGTTGTGATGAGGTAAGTGGGAAAAGATAGATATTGAATATTAATGAAACATTTTCCATCAAAACTATCGGCTTTAGTATCAATATTTATCTTTTTAGATCATGTGTATTTTAAAGATTACTGTTTCACTCTATTAAGATCGGTTTTAGAAACATTTAAATATGGATTCCTTAGCACTCATCTTTAAGATATTTTTTTTAAATATCATTTTTTTTGTTAAAAATCTAGTGGTGGTCATCCAAAAGGTGGTAGTGAACGACATCGATAAACATGTTTCTAAAGGAGCTATATTAAATAAGGAAATCTATTTATACATCAGATCAAACGAAAATAATATGCATGAGATGCATTTCAAAAATTAATTTACAAATTATACAAAATTTAAGTATTACATTTTATATGTTAGTGGTTGGAGATAGAAAGAGGGTGAGAAAATTAAAGAAATTTAGAGGGGTGGAATAAAAAGAGTTTTGTATCTGAATGATAAAATTGTTCTAAATAAATAGTAATAAAATGACAAATTACCCGTGCATCGTGTTGACTAGTTAAATAAATGGACGGTGATTTCAATTTATTATAGATTTTAATAGATTATTATTTTAGCACCTATTTGGGACGTTATATATATATTTTTTCAATCTAAATTAATACATTCTTCTTATGATATATAAAAAAATATATCTTTATTATGGAACTAGGTATGATATATATATGTGTCTATATATAAAAGTTTTAATAAGCTATTACTATTTTTTTATGTGGGCACGTGGGGTTGCTTTTTTCGTGTTATTAGCTATATAATATAATTTTTTTCGTGTTATTATGTTTTGCAAATGAATAAAACAATTATAGCTAATAATAATGAGTAAAAAGTTAATTAACCAAAAAAAAAAAAGCCTGAAAGGCTAATTCAAACACGACAGTCAATGAACACAGTGCTTTTCATGGGATAATTCCTAGAGTAGAATTTTTTGTGCTTCGTGTGACCTAAGGACACCGTCTTAATACTGCCTTAATACTTTTCATGGGGCACTTCCTAGAGTAGAATTTCTAAGGACATCGCCTTAGTACAACCTCTCCACTACACACCTATGGTTCTTTCATAAAGTTAGTACAAAAATACATCATCCCAACCCTTCCAACTCTGGTTGGCCGAGTGTCGACACAACACAACACGTACACACGCAAAGCCAATCGTACGGGAACCTCATCTCAACCTTTATATACAAATTGCATATACAGGATACAAGAGACTCGACTCCAACTCCCTAGTTGAAGTCTTCCATCAAGAATGGATATTGATGGACAACGCTCCCTCTCATAAGGAACTCGGCGCTCCTAGAGGAACAATACCTCCCCTAGGGAACCTATACTCTCTCGTGCCACCTGGGCTACAATTGGACATTCTAAGACCAAATACGATCTAATCGGATTGGATTGGATGCTTGAACATTCCTCAAACTCTCCATTTTATAGGCAAACATGATGCTAAAATTAGAGCTACTTAATTTTGCTCTAATTTTAGTGGAGTCCACTCCAAGCTTTAACCCAGTTCCCCACTGCATGGAGGGTGGAGAGAATGGTGGAATTTAGTCTAAATTTAGCCACTCGGTCGGGCCACTCTCCCACTAAGTCCATCATCCACCCTTTTAGGAATGTGGGACACCAACTCTCCTCTTGTGTAATGCGTATAAGAAGTCCACCAATGCCTTAGCAGTGGATGTCGTACACCAGCATGCTCGAATGCCTTTGAATGTTCTTGTGTGCGCTGCCCTTGCACACCGTCGCGTGCATGCCTGTGCACTTGTCGCCCGCGCACGTGCTCGTATGGCCGCACGCCTTCTGCGTGTGCCCGTACGCCACACCCGTTGCACATGTTTGATGGTGCACACCCACCTACGTTTGCTTGTCGTCTCTTGTGCCGCTCGCCTGCGTACCCGCCTGCATGCATACATGTCGTGCACTCGTGCGCGCCCACCTACGCGCACCTATGCTTGGCTCTCACGACTTAGCCTCATGCTAAGCTACCGCCTGCATGTATGGTGACACTAGCCGCCCAATAGCGCATCTGTACGTGCTCCACGTCCTGCTTGCTCGTACTGGTTGCTACACTACCTTGCTCCGTCATTGAGTGTACCGTCTGACAACACTCTGACATTGGCTCGTGTAAGACTCGCCGAACCATGTCGCATGCTCAAAATCGAGGTCTAGACTCTAAGTCAACCACACTAACAAATTTTATTAGTAATCAACTGCTTCTTTGAATATTAGTGGAGATTAATAAATTGATAGATTGGAGATGATAATTACATGAAGAGATTCATTTTATAAAATTTACGCTTTAATCTTAAAAAAGTAGAAAAATAGTTGATTTGAGGATTTAAAATCCCTAAATTTATGCACATTTTTATTTTCCTAAAAAAAATTTCCCAAAATTTTAGTTATCTCTTCCTCTTCTTCATCCATCTTATTTTTTCTTCTTTCGTTTTTCACCATTGTTTCTGGCACACCGTCTCCTCGTTTTCTTAGTGTTCTCTGTTTTATGTTGTTACCGTCTCCGGTAGCCCATTTTTCATTTTTGTGTTTTCGTTTTTCACCATTGTTTTCAGTGGCCTGTTTTCTGTCCTTTACATTTTAAATATTCTAGGTTTGTTTTTTATTTCTGATTTTGGGTGTTCGATTTTAATTATTTAAAAAGTATTTGATGGTCATGTCGTATAAATTTGATTATGTAGGTTATTTGCTTTGTTTGTTAATTGTAAAGGGATGTAACTGGTTCATATATAAGTTATAATATATATTTCCATATAAGTGTATGTTATAATGGTCGTAGTTTATACTCGGATATAGTTTATATCTCCATATAAATGAAAATGTAGGCGATAAACAAATATATATATATATATATATATATATATATATATGCAAGATAGAAACGAAAAGGACGAAGCTGCAGTATTCCATTGTCGTCTTACCTCATCATGCCGACAAGTTACTCTCGTAAAATGTAGTGCTCTCCAACGAATATTAGTGAGATTGAGCCAAATACTGCATTTGAAATGCAGTGAAATTGAATAAAAATTGGAACAAAATAAAAACCTATTTTGTAATAAATTTCATTCTAGAATATATTATGGAGTAAATTAGGATGTGATGAGAATAACTGATTTGGGTCCCACAATAGTTTAACGTTTACCTAATCAAATTTGGAACATTAAATCTTTTAAATTTAAATAAAAAAAACTAATTATAATAAATATAAATGCTAAATTTGGTATTTGGGAAAAGTTTAAAGACATAAATCTAAAACGGTAAAATTTGTAAACATTAGACATATGTGAAAATAAGTTTTCAAAACAATGGTCAAAAACATTATCTCTACTTTATTTTCATTTTAAAAACCTACATGGTGCCCATGCAAGTTGGCCATTTCTTTGTGTGTGCGTCCAGGTGGTTGTCTCTTCCACAATTTAAAATTAAAAAAAAAATTAAACGTGGCGCTCACGTCATTAAGTCGTCTCTAATACTAATATGTTTTGGTCGTCTTTTCAAGAGATGAACATCTATTTTCCAAGTATTACTCTTGGAAATAGTTTGGCTAATGATATATTCTTGTAATGAGTTTTAAACAGACCATTACTAAGAAAATCCGAGAATATGGAGCCAAACTAAGAATGAAATATTTTTTTATTCCTTTTCAACGGGAACAAACTTTTTCGAATTTATTTTTCCTTTGTTTTAGTTGGGGAAATTGAGATTTTTGTCCCTCCCCTTAATTCAATTTGGACTTTTGACCCATTTCTAAAATCTCTTATTCATGACCACCCTCTCCCAATTTTTATTTTATTTTTAATTTTTAACTCCTAAAATTACCAAATAATAATAATAATAATAATAATAATAATAATAAATTTCTTCACAATTTTTGAAATATTAAATTTTTAATGGTTTAATATGGAAAATCGAATAATTAGGGCATAAGATTATAAATCTCCACATTTAATTTAGATTACATAAAATCTTGGCATTAAATGCTAAATATTGCATTAAATTGTAAGGGGCCGAGAATAAATGTTAAAAAATATATATATATTATTGGAGCTACGTGTATCCTGGCCCAGGATAGCACAATCCCAGACCGGGATAGAACAACAAGATTGGGATCGAACAATCGGACCAAGATTGCAGTATTTATATGCTTACTACAATCCCGATCCGGCATTGTCCTAACCTGGTTCGGGATAATGCTATCCCGGGCTAGGATACATGCCGTCCCGGTTTTTTTTTTAATATTTAGACATTTATCATGCAAAATTTTTTTATATGGACGCCAATAATCCACCAGAATTTAGTTATTTGAGGATTTGTGTGGATTCAATTTACTTATTGGTTTTTTTTTGGACAGTTGGTTTTCAATTCATAATTGATTTTTAAATTTTAAATTAAAAAGAGGTAAGAGATGGGTGGAGGAAAGAGAATTTTACTTAGAAAGAAACAAAGATATTTTGATAATTTTACAAAGGTAAAAAGTGGAAAAGAGTAATAATTTAGAATGGAGGGGTCACAAATTAGATTTTTCTAGATTGGGTAAAAAATCCAAATGGATTCTTGCATCCGTCAAAAACCCTAATTTCCTTTTAGATTCTATATCCCTTTTGAATTTTTTGGTTTTTCCATCTATTAGAAATAGATGGGTTGTTTGATAGATGTGCACAAACAGAGAGTCGTGAGAAATTCTTCAAAAAGAGATCGAGAGCTTAAAAGCTCAATACTTGTTATTTCTGATAGAGTTTGAAATACTTGTAGGGTGATTTGTGAGTGTTTTTTGTATGAGGGGAAACCGAGAGAAATTATTGTAAATAACTTTTAAACTCTCGAAAGATTCTTCTTGTTATTTTAGTAGAACCTACCATGGCAATAGAGAGAATTGAACGTAACCCACATTGACTGAACTAATATAAATTAAACGTTTAATTTTCTTCTTCCCGATCTTTATTTTTCGTTGTTGTTGTAAGTTTTAGATTGGTTTTATCTATTTCTGAAATTTGAATTTCGCTTTAATTGGAACAGAACCCGCTAACAAATATTATTTCCATTTGTGGTTGAAATAATCATTAGTTTGCTGCGTTATTTCTAGGCGAACATAACTATGGGACTCGGACGTAGTAGGTCCGGACGCCTAGCATGAAGCGGGAACATAACTATCATTTTCATGACCTTCAAAAGACCTCGAAGACTCAAGTTCTTCGAAGGATTTTTGGAATATAAGGATGACTTTGGACCTCAAAAATCTTCACATGTATATTAAGAAATTTACCAATTTATCCCTGGCCTTTCCTTTGCCCTTATCCGGCTTTCCAAATCTTGTTGTAACGTTGTTTTCTTCCACCAAGAATTTCTCTTTAATTAGCATCTTCTTTTTCTATTCACTCTCTTTTTGTCATGTTGAAAATTTGATTCTTTTAATTTTAATTTTTAGGTTTTTCCGAAAGAATAATAATATATTACTAACCATTTACATACAAGTTTTTTTAATATATTTTTTCCTTGCAATATCGTTCCAATTATGAGAATTCTAAAGCACAGGTCAACTATAGAATTGTTTTTGAATAACATTTTAAAGTGAGTAAAAAAAAATATAATATTGAAATGTTTTTTTCGAATCGAAATAATCCATCTCGTACGTCACATGATGAGTATGGTATTTTGTGTGAGATATTTGTTTGATCAAGAATGGTCGGGTGAGTAGTTGGACGAAACTTGTCCATATAAAATATTGTTGGTTCAACCTAATTTCACTAGTTACCTATATTTTTAAAATATGGTCAAACAAAATAATGTTAAGGTCAACGAAATAAAAAAAAAAGGAACAAAACACGGATCGTAACAGTCAAACAAATTTGTTTCTTCATTTATTATTATTATTATTATTATTTTTAACATGTTGGCTTTCTTCTCTTCTTAATTATTCTCACTATTATTTCATATTCTTTTCTTTCTTCCAATCAATAAAGTATATATTTAAACAAATAATGTCTGTTTCTTTTATTTTGATATTTTATTTATATTTATAATTTTATTTTAAAATAATTAAATTATTATTTTGACTCATTTAATCAATATTATTATTATTACATTTACTTGTTACCCCGTCTCATATTATTAAATTATTATCGCTCAGCTCATATTAGCGGTCTAAAAAAAGACAACGTACGATTTTGTAGAGAATATATATATATTTCATTGATACGATAATAGACACACATTACACACGACACGCTTGTGGAAAACTTTCATCCCCACGAGAGGATTGGAAAATTTCCCATTTTATTTTAGTTGACATGGCCATGCCCTAGCACACGTCACTTACACAAGACGACAAAAAGCATGATAAATAAATAAAAAAAAAAGGAAAAAACTTTAAATAAAATTTTCAGAAGATAATATCCAAATGAGAAACTCCACCGGCTTCTCCGTTCCATGGAAGATCAAGCCCTAGCTTTCCATCGGAGTTCCATTCGAATTCCACCTCCATTCCGTTCGAAACGCATTTCTTCGGCGATACATTCGAGTAAGCCAGGAAGCTTCCTCCTCCTTTCACCTTCAGCTCCACTCCCTTTTCGTTGTACTTCAAGTGCTGGATTGTGCCGGAGCTGTTGAACATGTTCGTGAGGCCGATGGGGGCGAATTTGATGCTGGAGCCAAGCTTCCGGAGGGGTATGAAGCTGAAGAGCTCGAATGTGGATGGTTGAAGGCTCGCTTTTAGCGGCTCGGATTTTGTGGTCGTGTGGAGAATCTGCTCGGCTTGACTCAGGTACACAATATATTCGACGAAATTCCCCATTGGGGCTGCTTCTGGTTTTTGGTCCCATTCCACATCACTGACATGTATTGTGGTGGACATTGGTTTGTAGCATTTTGGATGCCCTTTGATCCTTCGCTCTTTAGGGTCCCAACCAGCTCCTTGGCAGTTAAACGCTCCAATTACTCCTCCATACTGTAATTAAATTCAAAGGAGGTTAAATTACAAGATTCGATTCATGAACTTTTAGAATTGCGTTTAGTTCCTTTCTAGAAATTTTAGTAATTGGAAGAGTTTTTGTAATTTCTTTGGATGGGAAGCCTCCTCATCTTTTTGTCTGTTTCATCTCATCAAATGAAATGTTTCTTGTAAAAAAATAGTTATATGTACCTTGTTAAGGTTCCAAATCTTGAGAACAGTTTTGCCGTCAAATAGAGAATTTTTGAAGATGCAATCTCTAGTGGGGAGGGCAAAATGCTGGCACCTAGGAATAGTTCCATCGGGATACACAAGCTGCTTTATGAGATCAAAATTATGGCCACCCACTGAGTCACTCACATACACAGGACCCCCACAAATGGCTCTTGATCCTGCATGGAACTTGGCACATAGATGGTCTGATTGGAACATGTCCCAATCAGGCTGGATGATTTGTCCCATCCACATGCTGTTGTATGCACAATGGATCATATGAACACCTTGTAACCAGTAAATGCCCATGGGGTCACCATTTGGATCTTGGAACCAAAAATCATCACCTGTCCCACAAAACATAAGTTATAGTTAAGTTTTAATCCAAATATTTACATTTTTTGTTCTTTTGTTTCACTTTGGCCAACTCTTTTGTGAACCAAAGACAACAAAGAGAGAGACAGGAAAAAGTCGAAATTCTTACCAACTCTTCCTATGGAGTTTTGCTTTGTGCCAAGGAAGAAGAAATCATTGCATTGTTGCATACTAGAGAAAAGGCCAGTCCCTTTGAAGTTCTTGATAAGAGAGTTGGTCAGACCCTTATAATAGGCTTTTGCAAGATCAACTCTTCCTCCATATTCCTCTGAGACATACTCTAGAGTCTGAATTGAACAAACAATATGACAAATGGGTTGATAGTTAATTCTTCATTAACACTATGTCTGAAAGCGAACTGAAGGTTTTGTTTTAGAGAAACTTACATGCATCACATCAACTTTCACTCCTGTAATCCCGACTTTAGAAAGATATGAATGCATGGAATCAAAGAAATCGTCGGCTTGATTGGGATGAACGAGTCCGATGCTACCTTCAATGATCTTCACGACAGCGAGATCATCCATCGTGCCGTCGAGCCCGGGAGAGAGCTTGCAGGGAATTAAATTTGAATTTAGATGGGTAGCGCCTGGCCTTACACCACCCCAAGCACCAGCAAGAGCATGCCAAACAAATACATCGTCCAGACCTTTGAATTTAGTCTTCAAGTCCCTTGTGAAAGCCTTCATTCCGGAGTCAGCAGCCTTGCAAGAACCAGTTGAACAACCTTTGGTTACAGCACCACTTTCTTCATCTTCTTTCCCAAAAATATCATCCAACTCTTCCTTCAGCTTCTGAATTTTTATTTCAAACTTAGAGACATCATTGACTCCATATGCAATAGCCTCGTCTCTATCTCTCTTAGCATCCTCGATTTCGTCCGCCTTCTGGATCAGCAACTTCGGCCTCTTTGGATTGAAAGATGGAACATTTGGACCCAAAAAAGACCCTCCTTTGTACTTTTTGAACTTTTCACATTCTTCAAATTTGTAGAGCCTGGAAGTCATTTGAGTCCCACAAAGAACAAGATGTTTACCATCTTGATTCGGGTCTTCATCATCCATATTGATGCTTTGCCATCCATCATCGATGATGAGGAACCTCGGGGAGATGCCGCCTTCAGCAAAATCATTAAGACCATTCCAAATTCCAGTAGGGTCTACTGTTAAGTAGAAAGCATCCCAAGTGCACCAACCGAATTTGTCCACCAAATGTGTGACAGGCTTCTCTTCCAAGAGTCTAAAAGTGTTCAAATGGACTCTAATGGCAGCATAGGCCTCCTTCATTAAGTTGTAGGGGTTATTAGACACATGAACGTAGGCGATGGCATCAAAACTTGATTCTTTCACATGAGTTGATCCACTTTCAGCACAAATCAAGACCTGCCCATCAGCCCCAGGATAAAGGGCAGACCTGAAACTGCCTTCTATTATGGGTATGAAAACGACATATGACTTTATTTCAGGGACATTTAACATGACCCATTGAGTTTCCATTTGTATATCAGATCCAGAATTCCCAACCCACATGGTCGACCACCATGTTTTGAACCTGAAGATACTCACAAACTCCCTTCCCTTGAATTTTCCCAAAGAATTCATCAGCCTATCAGAAGGTCGTGTTTGATCGAAACCAAGGAATCCGCCCTTATGGGACAGGCCATCCACTCGTTGGAGCAATTGAAGTGGAGCATCCGAGGGTTGGCATATGGAAGAAAATGGGCTGAAAAAGACATTACTCGGGACCTCCGACAGCAGAGGAACACCTTTGACACTGATCTTCCCATTGGAAAAATCAATCAAGTTTTCCAAACTCTCAGATTTCAGACCAGAAGAGGTCAAGTTAGCTAGGTCATTTGGAGGTGCCATGTCAAACGGTTAACAGAGACCTTGGAAAGAAGGTAAACAAAGAAAAGGTTGCAACTTTGGGATAATTTCGAAGCCAAAAATATTCAGTCAACAAAACATACAATGAGAGTTAGAGAAGAAAGATTTGGAGAGAGAGCTCTAAAATTTGGTGGGTTCTATAAGGAAACTATGCAACCCATCAAAAAATTTATAGGGAGAAGGAAGAATGAAGAACGTGGTTGGAAAACAGTTGCACAAAGTCGAATCAAATAAGCTATCCAAATTAAAGGAGGAAAAGTTCTAGTGGATAGAGAAAAAAGTTTAAAAAAAAAAAGGTATGATTAATTAGTTGTTAGTTTATGAAGGATATAGATAGGTTAAGAGAGATTGGAACTTATGTTCATGGATCAAAACCCAAAATTTACCAAGTGATAATGGCGACAGGGCATGAGAAAACAATCTACAAATTGGTTTAGTGGACCCTCGAATTTATTCAAATGCAAAAAGATGAAACCTACGAGGAATAAAGTTGATGGTTTAAAGTGAAAGCTCGGTTTAAATACTATTTTTGTCCTGGTATTTTTTTGTCTAAGTATATATATATATTTTTGAAATGTAGTTATAAATTTGTATTAAAATATTTCTATTATATATAAAATGTGTTAAAATTTGTATTAAAATATTTTTATTATATATAAAATTTGTGTTAAAATTTTGTAAACAAGGACTAAAATGGTCACTTTTAAAAAGTACAATGATGGATTGGGAATGCACTTCCATTTTCCCCAACCTATATAGGGTAAAAATTGTAAATTAATTATAATATATATGTGATAAGGAATGAAATAAGATTGACAGGGTTGTAGGGGATTATACCATTTTAGGATTATGGAATGAGATTACAAAGTTTGAGATCTGTCCAACCATTTGATTTTATTCCTACAATTTGGTAAACACGATCAAAGTGTTATCATTTTGATTCATTGATTACGATTGCGGGTAAGTAAACGAGGTCTTAAACCAATATTCAAGTAAACGGGGTCTTAAACCAATATTCTTTCTATTTGGAAGAAGTTTTGGCTGAGGTTCATAAAGGAGATGGATCATGGATACCACCTGCTTACTACATAAATGTTATGTAAAATGTGGAAAGACAAAATGCAAAGTACGAAATCCAATTGTAGTGTTAGACCAAAAAGATATGAAGAGCCTTAGTTAAATTAGATGAAGGGTTGGTTAAGTTAGTTATGTCGGTTGGTTGGTCGGTGGTCTTACCTTAATTTTTTCAAATTTTAATTTAACTTGGCATTGGACCCACAAATCCCCAAACTTACGTATTCAAGGGATAATCTAAGTGGCTTTTACATGTCTTAATCGAGAAGCTTCATACTAATCTCACACTTTTACTATTGTCTTTTTTTCATTTTTTAAGTTTATATAATTCAAATAAATAGTAAAGATTTGAACTTACGACGTTGAAGGAAGGTTATTAGTGGTTTAACTAGTTGAACAGTATGGACTTTTCATTATTTCAATGGAAAAGAAATCCTTGGAGTACTTTGCATTTTGGTTTTTGTAATTTCAGGTTTGATTCATTTTGGTCTTTGTTTTTCAAAAAATTCATTTGGGTTCTTGTAATTTTAACATTTTTTGTATACTTTGGAAACCGTCTCTTTTGGCCTTGGTACTAAGTGATCATTTTTGTTCCTATTTGTAAAACACAAATTGTATACGCAATGGAAACTCTTTAAAACACATCTCAAGAAATGTTGTGCTAAAATTATGATGGAAAGAAATGAGATAAGAATGAAAATGAAAGAATCAAAATGGTCATTCAAGTTTTAAATTAGTAGGAACAAAACGAACATTTTAAGAGTTTATAGATTAAAATGAACAAAAGTTAAAAATACATTGACTAAAATAGACAATTTGAAAGTATAGGGGTTAAAATGAATAAAAGTCCTAAGTTTAGAGATTAAAATCGTATTTAAACATTTTTTTTCTCATATAAGGTATACTCGTATATTCAAAATCGAGTGTGGGTTTGAAATTTTGTTATTGGAAATAAATAGATATATGTAAAAATATTTTAGAAATAAGATTGTTATTGATTGGATTTTCCCATTGCTTTTTTAATTCGGTAAAAGAAAAAATCTATGTTAGGTCAAAATAAACACACTCAATACGTGTTCGTGACAATTTGAGGTATTTGAAAGGTAGACTTCTTAAAAGAAAGAATCTATATTAATACCAATAATTTTTTTTCTTTTTTTTGTTCAACAAAAATATATGGGATGAAAATTAAAATATCCAACCTTTTGGTCAAGAATATATATCTTAATCAATTGAGTTGCGTTCACATTGACTATGTTAATACATATACACATACATATATATAAACACCTATGATTTAATATTTTATGAGTTTCCTTGTCAACCAAATGTAGTAGGGTTAGGCAATTGGCCCGTGAATATAGTCGAGGTGCGTATAAACTGACCCGGATACACGGATATCAAAATATATATATATATATATATATATATAAACACATGTTGTTTAAGAAGTTTGTCTGATAGAATATAAAAAATTCTACCAATTGGATTATGTAGCTCTCAAAAAATTTAGTACATTTGGTAGGGGTGAGATTCTTGCAAGAGGGCCAAATTGCTAAATTGACATTTCCAACGATGTGGAATATGGATGAGTAATGTATTTTTCATATCTATCCTCAAAACAAGAAATATCT